TGCCGGGTCAATGGTGGCGTGTAGCCGTGCTAAGTGCTCTTAATTAAGGAAACAAAAGCATATAAAAATTAACAATTTTTTAGTACTGTAAAGATTTCTCCTTACACCAGGTTCGTTAAAAGAAGTTTTATGAAAAATTAATAAATGAACTATTTTGTGACTATGGCTCGTGATCGTCTTACCAAAATTTGGACCTGTGGTTACATGTTACTTGTTTTATTAAATACATTGCTTTAAGAATCATACTTGGGAGAGTTAGGTATACACAAAAATAAAATACAGTGTTTAGTTTACCCCAATTTAATTTACTAGGGAGATACGACCAGGGAAAAAGAGCTTGAGAAAAAACCCTGTTCGGCTATGAAGTAGCAAAGTATTACACGATTAGGCATTGTTTCTTTAAAAGTTTATGCAAATCAATGTAATGACAAGACGCTCGTTACACTATCTACCCCCTACAGGTTCAAAAATAGGAGAAACGTTGTTAGTTTAACAGGGCAGTTAACTGTTAGTCTGTCAATGTTAACGTTGCCCTGTGGAGAACGAGATCCACACTGGAAGCAACTCGCGTAAAGATAAAGGTTCGGGACAAAAGTTGCGATGCCACCTAGAGAACCTAGGTGACCAGTTATTCCTCGCGGAGGGGAGCATTTTAGTATCTACTGCAAATTACGTACTAAAGAAAAAGGAACATTCAAAGTTTAGAATTAACGGTCAATACTCCCTTTTAAGCAACGAAACGTCCTGTATTACACTAATATTTGTTTTAAAATTACCTCAAAAAGAATGCATAAGCGTGTTGAGGAAGGTCTAAACATTTGAGTTACCGGGACAGTTTACAACTAGATTAAGCCTAAGACAATAAAAGAGTGAAATATAAATTTTTACATTTAGCAATAAACTTAAAAGGCAAAAACATTTTATAAAAATAGCTAAAACAAAAGGTGTTAATATCGAGTAAAATTCACTAAACGCAGTAGTGCAAAATAAATAATGCTCAGTTTATTTAAATCTAAATCGTTCTACGTTTAGTGGCTTTACTACATAATTGGGCTACTAAAATTAAGAACTAACCTGGAAGAATACACAAACACTTGTAACAATTATTTAAACAGAACTTTACAATAAATTTCATTTTAGTAAAAATGTATAAAAGCCGTTCGATACAAACGCTTTCTGCCCTTCTTATTCCCTTCCCAAGTTTCGATGTGGTTTTCGCCTCATCTGGTCAACAGATTTTTTCCCATTTCAGGCAAAATTTCGGTCTTCCACGAAACTTTGTAATTTCTTTACATTTTACAACACAATTTAGAAATTACAAACTTATTCAAACATAAATTTGTAAAACGTAATAAAGTACTGAACCATTACAGTACCAACATTATAATTATGTTAGTACTAACATAAATTATTGTTTTTATTAATCACGGCGCGTTCACCATTTTTGTAAAAATAAATAATAAACGTGTATGGTTAAAATTACTACCATACAATTTTAAATTCTTTTTTGGAACTATGAACGTGCTTGTCTATAGAACAATACCCATAAAAAATCTAACATAGTACCAAGAACATCGCTGTCATTGAATGCATTAAAATTGAAGCAATCTAAATTGTTATTTGCTCAATTAATTACTATTAAACCAAAATAGGGAAACATTTTGCCTAAATGACAAAGAATTTATTGCGTTAAATGTAGTATATTTATTAGTTTATTAGTATAGTTATTAAATAAATCAAATTAGTATTTAATGCAATAACATTCTAACATAAAATAAAATAAATATCAATATAAATATCAATAGATTTAGAAGCGAAAACTTGTGTTATTATTGTTATTCAGGAATACGGATTACAAGATCCAATTGGTTTAATGGCTCACCCATTCATGCTATGCTAGCGTTTTTTCTGTGTACGTAAATTACATATTTAGAGAACGATATATCGCAATTGAGAGTTCCAGCCCTTGTAGATACGTGGGCCGCCATTTTTACTTACCTTTTGCATCTTTATAAATCAATTAAAACGGTCATAGTTAAGCTCATTTTTGTAATCTCTTTGAAAGGGTGGTAAATTATAAATATGAATATGTTTATATAAAATTAAAATTAAATGAACTTCATAAACAAAATTATTAAAAAAATACTTCAAAATGGGTAATAAACCATTAAAAAGCATTTGGGATTCCAAAATTTAAAAATTGTTTATCGTAAGTAATATCATAAGGGCATCTAATTTTTCCGAAAAAAATCGAAAAAACACGTTGCTAAGTAATATTTTAACAAGAAGCATGAGTGCTGGTGGCAACAAAAAACCGAGTCGAAGAGGAGGATTTTGCACCTAAATTAAAATATAAATTGCAATTTTTGGTGACAACAGCTGTCAAGTTTTGCCGCGGGTAAACTCGAAAAAACTGCTGACAGGTGCTGTCACACAGTTTTTTCACCTAGAAACCATTTGAAATTAAGACGAGGGAAATATTTGAAGGAATACAAAATATTAAAAAAAAATCAAAAGAATACAAAATAAGAAAAAACTTAAAAAAGTCAAAATATCTGTGTTTCGATTATTTGTGATCAATTATTATTTTTATAAATAGGTAAATAAAATAAGATTAAAATTAAAGCTTTAAAGTATAAATTTTTTACAAATATTAAGTATTAATACGTCCTGATATATAAAACTACCTATTGATTTAAAAAATATGTTATTTATTTGTATAAAAATTAAACTGTTGGTTTTATTGGTTTCACCACACTATATAAAGGAATATGTTATGAACACTTACCACGTGTTATTTTTACACGTTTTATTAAGGCATTTTTTCACGTGCTACACGTGTAATCTGTTGTAATCCATTGAATATATTCGATTCGGTTATCCAAAAATAGTAACAAAATTAAAACGCTGTATTTTATTTTGTCAAGTTTTTCATATAATAATGGTGAGTTTTAAGTTGACGCGTTCCTTTTAACAGCGTGTAGAAATCAGATAAACAAATAAATATTTTAAGTAACTTTTTTATCAAAACTCAAAAATAAGAGAGTTATAGGCCTTCCAAGTTTAATTAAATTTTGAGACGGTCCTGGCTATGGTTAACGAAAAACATAACCATAAATAAAATATCAAAATAAACAATGCTAAAATGTCATATATGACAACAAACATAACCATTTAAATAAAATTGACATTTAGCAATGAAAAAATGTCAGTTATTTCTTAAGTTGCTGCATTTGCATTTTGACGACACTCTCCATAAATTAGTAAAATTTAATGTTACTAATTTATGGAGAGTGTCGTCAAAATGCAAATGCTGCAACTTAAGTAAATAAATACATTTTTTATTGCAAAATGTCAATTTTATTTAAATGGTTAAGTTTGTTGTCAAATATGACATTTTGCATTGTTTATTTTGATATTTGTATGGTTATGTTTTTCGTTAACAATAGCCAGGACCGGCTTAAAATTTAATTAAACTTTGATGGGCTATAACTTTTTTATTTTTGAGTTTTGATAAAAAAGTTACATAAAATATTTATTTGTCTAGCTGATTTCTACACACTGTTAAAAGGAACGCGTCAACTTAAAACTCACCCTGTATATATTTTTAAATTACCAGTAAAGGTTGTTTCAGTTAAGGGTATTTTATTACTTCCTCACAGATTTCTCTATCCAATTCGTCCTGTCTGCTTACGTTTTTTTTTAAATTCGTATCACATGACGCAAATAACAACATATTAAGTTTAACATATCATGTCAAACTTTTATTTTAGTTTGTAATTATAATAATTATTATTAATTATGAATTAAAAAAAGAAATTCTATAGAATAAAAAAACATAATAAAAATTATTTTTTACAGATTTGACGTAATTTTGTATTTTAAGTTTAATATAAATTAAAACATACCTACGTTTTTAATGCATATATGACTTTAGTGTAAAATACATTGTAAATTGCACTCTAAATATAAAATAACTTATTTTTATTCCTACCTTTAAAACGTAAATCGTACATTTTTACATGACACTAAGTGACCTTTATGGCGTTTTCAATACAAAAATAATAAAGTATTAAATAGTTTTTCAACGTCAATATTTGAAAAGTTTATATGAACATGACCTTTTAATTTCGCTTCAGTAAACTAGATTTAACTTTAAAAATGTCGGACAGAGACTTTAATTTAAAAAAAACTGCTTTTATATCGGATTTTAACGGTGATGTTCATTTTTAAGGAATACATTTCGAATTACTCATAAAAATTTGATATTTTCACTGGCCAAGAATGGTTTCTCTATTGTTTTATAGATGTGGCTCTATACAAATGTTAATTATAAATAATTTTTAAATAATAATAAGTATTTTTTGTTCAAAAAGTATGGTAAATTCGTGACTAAATGGCGTTTATTAAACTTGATACATAATATACCCCTTTATTACTGTCAACGTTTACTAATAATCTTCTAGACTGTTAAAATAATTTAGACCAATCAGGTGAAGTTTTTTTACATCCAAGTCTTTAAAAAACCTAATACGATAACTTCCGATAACTCTGAAGCTACCTAACCTCACTTTATACTTTTATTAATTATTATTATAATTGTACGTTTTAAGTATCGTTTGAGAAATAAAACTGTGCCTTGAGGATAAAATGTTGTATGCATGCGACTGAGAAGTATCTTTTACACTTCGCTCATTTGTGGGACTACGTTACCCTTCGGCATTTAAACTTTGCGCTTTGACACAAATAAACATTTTTTACAAAGCAAATCCAAATTTTTCGATAAAAATTATTTTTTTTGTGTACATTATTAAAATAACATAAAAGAAAAAAAATGTTTTTGTACATTTTAGAATAATGAAACATTTCCATACATGTACCTACCGACTTTGTTGTATTTTCTAAAGGTAAATTTTGTATTTAACTTATCTTAAATTAAATGTAACTATAAAATGCTAGTTAAAATAAAAACAATTTATGTAGATGAAAAATATGCTTACCTTGACAGCAAAATACCATTTTAGGAAACTGAAAATAAAAATAAATAGTTAGTCTTTTATTAACATCTTATGCTTGTTCGTTAATTATTTTTAATCATTAACGTTAATTTCTCCAGAGAGTTGTAAATTAACAAGGAAAAATGGATAGACAATCTGCTATTTTCATATACATATTCCGTTTTATTAAAGAAATAATTAAAAATAATATGAATAAAAACTATAAAACAAATGGAAGATTATTAAAAAAGATGTTTTAATTAAAATTTAATTTAATTTAATTATTGATATTATGCTTAATTTGAGTATGATCTCAGAATTTCTCCACCGCGTCAAGTTTTTAAAAAAGGTTAGTTGAAAGTAAAAGTGGAAATAATGAATTTTGTCACAACAATCAGTTATACACTGCGCGTCAAAATTAACGCATAACAAGTAAAAAAATCCAACTATAAAACGCCATTAGAAATATTTTTAAAATTTTGGATAAAAATATTTTAATTTATACCTCAGTTTACTTGTTCAAGGGATTTTCGAAAAAATATCCTTAAAGCCCTTTTATTTAATAATAAACATAGCGAGGCATCGTTCAAAAAACTTTTATAGGGAAATTTTTTTTTAAGTAATTAAAAATCTGATTGAAAGAACGTATTTTTGTTAGTATACTCTGAAAATGTTGTACAAATCAAACGAACAGTAACGAAGATACATCGCTTCAAAGTCGGTAAAAATGACCCCTTTTTGATTATTTTGCTAAAAAGTGGTCATTTTTACCGACTTTGAAGCGTTGTATCTTCGTTACTGTTCGTTTGATTTGTACAAAATTTTCAGGGTATACTAACAAAAATACGGTCTTTAACAGCATATTTTTTATTTACTTAAAAAAAATTCCCTATAAGTTATTTTTCGAACGTTTTTTTATTATTAAAGAAAAAAGCTTTAAAAATATTTTCTCGAAAAACCCTCGAACAAGTAAACTAAGATATAAGTTGAAGTATTTTTATACACAATTTCATAAAGATTAGTAAAGGCGTTTTAGAGAGATAATTATAATTATAAATTATAATTTATATATTAAATACTAAAGATTCAATTAGGGCTTCCAAATGAAAAAACACACAAACATTTTAAAAATATGAATTTTTCTGTTCAGTATTTTAGGTAAATGCATTACAATCACATATGAAAAATAAAATCAAACAAATTACGGTTTCGGCTTCTGCATATATTATAATACATGAACCTTGTTATTTTCAATAATATCGAGGCTTAACGCAGGCTTAATGCCGGCTATTTCGTGTCGAATTTCTTGTTTCAGCTATTCAATAGTGTTTGGTTTGGTTTGGTTTTTTCCTGTAGACTACTCTTCAAATAACCTCAAAGAACAAAGTCTAAAGGAGTGATATCGCATGATCTCGGCGGCCAATTGATATCGTCATTTCTTGAGATTACGCTGCTAGCATGGAAATTTTCTTATTATTTCTGCTGCCGTTTGACGGGTGGCGACATCTTCTTAAAACCAAAGATCTTCGATATCAATACCTTCCAACCGGTCCCAAAAAAATTCTGTGATCATGTTACGAAAGCAAACTGAATTGAACGTAACAGCATTTTCCACATTGTCTACAGAAAAATACGGGCGAATTATGCCACCAGACTACATGGCACACCATAGTGTCACTTTTTGTGGATGCATTTTTTCCTCAAAAATCTCTCTTGGATTTTATAATCCCCAAAAACGGCAGTTCTGCTTGTTTACGAGGCCGCTTTATCCATTCAGCAAACACACGACTCTGTAAATGATCTCTAGGCTTCAGTTCTAGTGTTATTTGGAATTTGTAAGGATGTACATAAGTGTATATCCTTAGTCAAAATTCATTGTGTAGTGGAGTAGGAAAGGCACAGCTGCTGCTGGTTCTGAAGCTACACTTTGATGATCAGGTGCTTTGGCGTTAGTTACGGACCCTGTTTTCTTGAACTTTTGAAAATTGTGCGCTCGGAAGTTCGATTTTGTGCACCAAAAGTTCACGTAAAGCACGAAATGCACCTTTTCTCGATCTCTTATTTTTAAAATAGGCTTGGACAATTTTAACGCGTTGTTCTGTGGTGTTTTCGGCAATAACTAAAATTGTTTGTGTTTCTAGGTTACAAAAACGGCTTTACATATTACTTAATACTTTAAAAATATGTATCTGTTTTATGTGGAAGCTTCTAATGAATCACCCTTTATTATTTTATATAAAATAACTAACAATTGCCAATACACTGTATAAAATATCTGAGTTGTAAAAAGTAATCTTAAAATGGTGTCAAAATCCAACACCATGTGGTGTTAATATAACACCATGAATTATGATTGAAAATGTGTACCGATCGCGGCAAAGGCGGTGTGGATCACGTGATGTTCTTAAATGTCACCTTTATTACATGAAGAATATATAAACTCAAGTGGTCCTTTGCTTTCGTGTGACACTACAAGTTGTTTGATACTAAAGAGACCTTAAATAGGTGGAAACAGCTGTCAATACTTGAAGTATTTTAAGTTAGTGGAACGCACTAAAAACATTATCTCTAGCGAGTTAAAGGTTCCATTTTCTGGAATAATACCACTGGTAATATACCTACTAGTAATGCGTCAAGGAACTTCCTGTTTCCTTTTTTTTCCTTTTTTCTGTGTAGTATGATTTAATTTGAACACAAACACATAATATTTAACACTGAAAAGGAGTTCAATTTACACCAGGTAAAATTTATTTTAATACTGTGTGAAAGTTAAATTAACAGCATTTTAGTATTTGAATTTACACCGGCCAACGAACCATATTTAACACCATTTTGGTTTGTATCGATATAGACCATGTATGGTGTTAATTTGGTGTTAAAATGGTCATGAAATTTTGAACAGTGTAAGGCTAAATTTAAATTTTAATCTCAAAATTAAATATACTGTTCTGTTCTCTGGGCGATCAAATTAAAATAACATTTGTTATTTCAAATAATGTAAACTTCTTATTATTGCATTTAGAAATATGCATGTTTGCCAAGTATTTACTAGGGAAACAATAAAATAAACGTATTTTCAGTAAATATTTAAGGTCTTCATTTTGGAGGCAATCCAACTAAATTCGGTCATCTAAATCCAAAAATGAAAACATTAACAGCTGCAGTTAAAGCAGTTAAAACCTTAAATTCTTAATTACAGATAAGAACGGTGTAATGAATAATTTAAAAACAAAAACAATCATTGCCATTAAAGAGCGGTTCAAAGTACTCCGGATTTCTTCGGATAAAACATCGGGGTTTTCGTGCCAGGCTGGCACCATTCCAAATAGCCCGTAAAATATTTCTTGACAGGGGCATTCGGTGCATGCCAGGACCTTATAATTAAGTGTTGCTAATTTATTATAAATAAGATAGGCAGATAGCGCGGGGAAAAAGCTTCGTGCCGTAAATGATACCATTTAAGTGTACTTTTTCTAAATAAATACGTCGGCAAAATGGATAATTACCCGTGATTTATATTTATTGGTTTTTAATCGTTTTTAACAACGTTGTTCTATATTATTTATTCTCAATAAAAAAAACTTATAAAATGGATTAGATCTTTTATTTACTTTTTCAGTCACAGGCTAAAGTTAGCAACATGTTTTTAGTCACGGGCGAAAGTAACTTTAAGTTATTTGGAAGAAATCAAATGTCATACAATCGTCAAACTAAACTGCTCGTCTTATGAAATAATAGTAAATATGAAAATTATTCTATTATCTCAAAATATTAATAATGATAATAATATTAATAATAATAAGCATAAGCATAAGCATAAGCATAAGCATAAGCATAAGCATAAGCATAAGCATAAGCATAAGCATAAGCATAAGCATAAGCATAAGCATAAGCATAAGCATAAGCATAAGCATAAGCATAAGCATAAGCATAAGCATAAGCATAAGCATAAGCATAAGCATAAGCATAAGCATAAGCATAGGAATAGGAATAGGAATAGGAATAGGAATAGGAATAGGAATAGGAATAGGAATAGGAATAGGAATAGGAATAGGAATAGGAATAGGAATAGGAATAGGAATAGGAATAGGAATAGGAATAGGAATAGGAATAGGAATAGGAATAGGAATAGGAATAGGAATAGGAATAGGAATAGGAATAGGAATAGGAATAGGAATATGAATATGAATATGAATATGAATATGAATATGAATATGAATATGAATATGAATATGAATATGAATATGAATAGGAATAGGAATAGGAATAGGAATAGGAATAGGAATAGGAATAGGAATGGGAATGGGAATGGGAATGGGAATGGGAATGGGAATGGGAATGGGAATGGGAATGGGAATAGGAATAGGAATAGGAATAGGAATAAGAATAAGAATAAGAATAAGAATAAGAATAAGAATATGAATAGGAATAGGAATATGAATATGAATATGAATATGAATATGAATAGGAATATGAATAGGAATGGGAATGGGAATGGGAATGGGAATGGGAATGGGAATAGGAATAGGAATAGGAATAGGAATAGGAATAGGAATAGGAATAGGAATAAGAATTTGAATGGGAATGGGCATGGGAATGGGAATGGGAATGGGAATGGGAATAGGAATAGGAATAAGAATAAGAATAAGAATAAGAATAAGAATAAGAATAAGAATAAGAATAAGAATAAGAATAAGAATAAGAATAAGAATAAGAATATAGAAAATATCATACAGGGTGTTTTCTATGTCCCGTTGAAAATAGCGATTTTAAAAGTTTAAAATCTTGTTTTTATTTAATGGAACACCCTATATATTTTTGCATAATTGGATAGAATAAGTAATTACCTTTCATTTTATATATATATGTCCTATACCTAAACCTAACAGAAAAAAAAATATTCGCATTTTTCACAATTAGTAGCTTTTTCCAATTACCTTTCATTATTCAAAGAAAACACTCTGTATAATATTTTCCAAAAAATAAATTAATTAACTTATAGCTTACTTATTATTAAAAAGTTGAATGCTA